TTGTCCTTCCTTTCCTGCTCGCTAACAAGCGCGCTGTCCGCTCTGCGCTCCCGGTCCGGTCCGGTCCGGTCCGGTCCGGCCCGGCGCGGCTGCAGCTCTGACTCTCTGTCCTCCGGCCCGCCAGACCCACTGGACCGCGGGCGTCGACGTGTGGTGGGACGAAGCAATGGCGAGCGCGGGGGAGGAGTGTGAGCCGGAGTGGGTGGAGGCGGAGGACCCCCTGTTCATCCTCTACACCAGCGGGTCCACCGGGAAGCCCAAGGCAAGTGGGGCCACCGCCGGTAATGAACCCCTGCGAGGTTTAAGAGCTGTCGTCTCAAGTACTTGGGAACAAAATCTCCGCAGAAAGCAGAACTAGAACTAGCTCAGCGTGTTCTCGGTGAAACAGAGATTCGGTTTTTGTGTTTTTCCCGCCCAGAATGACAGAAATAACACTGCTCGCCAGTGAGATCTCTGTATTCTTAACTGTAGTTGATGGCTTCTGTACTGTGGCTCCAGCACCCTTACGCTCCCCTGCAGAGTGCCAGTTCTCCAGAACGCATGCTGTCCTGGGGCCTACAGGGTTACATTAATATCCCAGGGTGTTTCTTGAAAAGAGAAGGGGGGTAACCCTGGAGTCCTAGTCAAATTTCCCATTGGCCTCCTAATAATCCCCTCTCTGAACTGGCTTCATCCCTCTGCTCTCCTCCCCACTGGGAGCTGCTGTGTGGGGAGCGGACTGGCGCATCATCCAGGTGGGGCTGCACACTGGTGGGGGTGGAGGGGATCCCCATGACCTGTAAAGCGTCCAGAAAAGTGCTACAAAAGTGTGAGAAATTATTATTATTATTATCATTATCATCATTATCATGTCCTAGCAGAGACTGTGGCGTGACTTTCCTCGGGGCTTGCTCACTGTGTTCCGCTCCGTGCCCCGCAGGGTGTCCTGCACTCTGTTGCTGGCTATCTGCTGTACACAGCGCTGAGCTTCAAGTGTGTGTTCGACCACCAGCCCGGAGACGTGTACTGGTGCACCGCGGACATCGGCTGGATCACGGGACACTCGTACATCACTTACGGACCGCTGGCCAACGGCGCCACAAGTGTCCTGGTAAGCAGCCCCTTGCAGTGTGCGAGACGTGGGTTACTGCGGATCAGGGCAAAACCAGAGACAACCTGGGAATCATGCAATTGATGATTCTTGCTACACATGTGGAGCATGCTGACACCTTATTGCTGTGCGTATTTTTTTTAACGTTTTCTTCCCGGTTGTCAATGCGTTATGTTTAAAAAGACAACACACGACAAGTTTTGATGACGAATTTCCAAGTAGTAATAAAATGTAACTCCACCCCCCCCCCCATGTAGAAATGGAAACAAAAACGTATTCTGCCTGAAGCAAACACACAGGCGCAGATCCGGAGTGCCTCTGTGGAAACGGCATTCTGTAGTATGGGGTTGTTGCGACGGGTAATCTCAAACCAAGCAAGGTCAATTGTCAAATCTCTGAGAAGCCCAGAACATTGTGCAATGTCAGAAGCAGAAACACAGATGTGACACGATATTTCAAATGATCATGCTGTAACATTTTTTTTAGGATTGTAATGTGCATTAAACATAATAATAGAAATGAGTTTTTCAGGTTTTGCAGGGACCTGCCATATTTCTTCTTTCTGTTTGGAAAGGAATTCTTAAGGAAGATTACTGTGTTACATTTGTCTCATTCCTGTAGATTTTGCTTCATATACTTCGAAAATGTTTTAGAGCTGATAGCAGAAACAATTCTGGAGAAGGTACCTCGCAAATGACACAGTGAGATCAATTACACGGTCATGTTTAAAGCTGATAAGAGTGTCTTGTCAGGAAGGACGTATGAATTTGAATGACTGTTGTCTTGGGATGTGGTCAGACTCCAAGTCAGTGCTGTGCTGAGTTACATTTCCAGGAATGGTCTGACACTGTGACGCTGTGCTTGGACAGTTTGAAGGCATACCGGTGTACCCTCATGTGGGGAGATTCTGGGAGATCATCGAAAAATACGGCGTGTCCAAGTTCTACACAGCGCCCACAGCCATCCGCCTGCTGATGAAATACGGACAGGAGCCCCTGAAGCAGTGAGTGGTCTCTGACAGCGCGGATGTGCCCACTCCCCTGCCGTGGGCTACAGGATGTGCTCTCAATGCGCAGCTGGGGTGATGTCGCTCCGCAGAGGAAAGGACACTGGCCCCTCACAGGCTCCCGTTAGACAGCTGCTGCGGCACAGACCCGTGCTTTCCTTCAGGAGCCATCGTTATGATCAATACCTGGGGGGGGGGGGTGTTTAAAACCGAAATTCAGCAATGTCCAAAAATAAAGCGAAAATGCCTACGGTCCTCCAGTTCCACCTGCAGTTCTGCGCAGTTTTCGTAGCTGAAAATGATAGTTTTTTTTCCCCTGGGGCGTTGGTAATCGCCATGACCCCGCTGTACCGTCTCGGGAAATAAAGCCCCGATAGAAAGTGATGAGTGAGCGCCATCTAGTGGGGATCTGAAGATACTCTTGGAGCACAACATGGATTTTTTAACGCGCAAACCGTCTCTCTTTGTAAACCTATTCTATATGCTGTTTATATCATATAAGCATCGTTATTCATATATCTTATGAGTTATTCTGCGGTTGTTTGTCAGCGACACTATTATGATCGTGTTGCCAGGTTGCCTTTGCCCACAACTCGTACAACATCCTTGCAACAAAACCCCAATTCAGAGAGCACCCGTGCCAGTGCCGGGCTAGCAGTGAGCTGGCTCAGCTCTCACACCTGCGCGTACTTTCACAGGGAGTGAGATTATTTAGCAAACTCGTAGTTTGATAAACTATGCCTGCCTGCATGTATGTTCTAAAATACCATACAAACTGTTTGTTTTAGAGGATATGCTTAATTCGTGTATTTAATCCATCATTCTGTTTTTTCTCCTTTAAGGTTCAACCTTGATTCTTTAAAAATCTTGGGCACTGTTGGAGAGCCTATTAACCCAGAGGCCTGGCTGTGGTTTTACAACGTTGTGGGACAACAGAGATGTCCCGTTTTGGATACCTTCTGGCAGACAGAAACTGTGAGTAAACTACTGTGGAGCTGCTTCTGCCTTCATTAAGCTGGACTCTGTGTAGCAACGCCTTTTTCTTCAAGCTCAGTGCAGACAGTAAAAGGCCCTGTGAAGTGTCATTTTTGCTCAGTTATTAAATCAGGGGGAAATACACTGAAATTTAAACACATCGGGAGGAATAAAATTCAAATATATTTCCAAATAACCCAGAATATTGTAGAAAGTCGAGAGAAATGTTATAATGTAGCGTGTGATGCATTGCACATTCAGATAGGTACTGTAGGACAAGTAATAAGTATTTATTTCTATCAGTAGAACTGTTGGGTTTTACAGGTGTATGACTGTAAAATGGACAAAATAATAGCTCATGCTGAATGTATTTACAAAGAAATAAGACCCGACAACAGCGAGCCTCTTAAGCAGTGCTGCATGCCAGCCTTTCTGTGTCGTGGAGAAAAGTCTATAAAACATTTTAATGTGTGTAGCTTCAGATGTTCATTTTAGTACAGGTTGCTGTCCGGTAGATTATTTGAATGAATTATTTGAATCAAAAATTGAACTCAATCCTTAAATTGAGGAAATCGCCTCTTTATTTCCGAAAGGTTATGTCCATGAAATTAAATAGTATTTTCTTTCTGACGCAGGGGACACATTCAGTCGGTTTAAAAAAAAAACGGTGGAATTAGGTTGTCGTTTGAAAATCAGAGCTACACGCCGACATGATTGTTAGAGGTGAATTGTTTTGTTTTATTTCTTGTGCCCCCAGGGGGGTCATGTGTTGACCCCATTACCTTCAGCGATTCCCCTGAAGCCCGGGTCAGCGGTAAGTATCCGCACCGGTTCGCCGAGCGGCGGCTCTGGGGCGGGTGTTTCGAGACTGAGACCACAGCCTGCACGGTGATGACGTGTTTTGCAGACGTTGCCCTTCTTCGGGGTGCAGCCGGCTATCCTGAATGAACACGGGGAAGAGCTGGAAGGCGAGGCGGAAGGCTACCTGGTAAGTGTGTTACTCTGCTGTGGCTCTGTCGTTGCGTGTCTGCGCGCATACAGTCCGACTGGTGCGGCTCAGCTCCTGTCTGGATTCGGCCACAGTCATACAAAAACACTACTGCCTAGGCAGTGCGAACTATATGCTGCTTGTGTCATATAAGCATTCATTATTCTACAT